CTTATATACATACAATTTACAAACCCCAGAATCCCCAATCTAAAAATTCAGAAACATGTCCTACTCCCATTACACCACAGGCAACACCACCTCCCCTTCTGCACCGCCGGTGCCGGAAAACCAATCACAACCCGGCGTCGGTTACCCCTACCAACGTCCACCCCAATCTCAACAATCTAATTACAATTACAATTACGGGCAGCCGCAGAACCCGACTAGTGCTGGTGGGTATGGTTCGCAATATGGATACGCGCCACCGACGCCATCGTTTCCACCAGGTACTCACCCGGAAATTATCCGGAACTTTCAGATGGTAGATTCAGATCGGAGCGGGTTTATAGATGCCAAAGAATTGCAGCGGGCTTTATCTTCTGGGTACCAGCAGTTTAGCCTTCGGACTATCCGCCTGCTCATTTTCCAATTTGGGAATCCCGCTGATCCTCACCGAATTGGTTTGTATCTGTTTTTCCCTTTGATTTGATTAAATCTATCGATCGTATTTCAAATTCAAGCGTTTAGATAAACTGTTGGGAGCTGATTAGGTCAAAAATTTCCCTAATTTGTAACCAATGATTCAATGCACACGAACTCAATCTGTTTATATATTCTAATGTTCATGTTTTGGATTCGATCATTGTTTGCCTTTCTGTTCGTTCTCTCATTATGCATGTTCCGTTTCTTGTTTCTCAGGTCCCAAAGAGTTTTCCGAGTTATGGAATTGTCTTGGACAATGGCGGGTGAGTCATCAATTCCTCAATTCCATTCCCTCATTGTATATTTGCCAATTCCATTCCTTCTCCCTAATTTCTTGTTTCTTTCGTACACATTAGGCTATCTTTGAAAGATTTGATAGGGACAGAAGTGGAAAGATTGATGCATCTGAATTAAGAGATGCCCTTTACAGTCTCGGATATGCAATTCCACCCAACTGTTCTTCAACTCTTGATCGAAAAATATGATGACCAAAGTGGGAGGAGACCCGATCTTTCCTTTGACAGTTTTGTCGAGTAAGGCTATTTCCGTAAATTCACCTTTTTTCCATTTTCAACATTCAAAGCTCCAACTTTTACTTATTATCTACTCATTTATCAATTTCAGGTGTGGAATGATTGTGAAGGTGAGCATCTTGTTCTTTCTTTTCCTTATTAAAATAATCAGGAATTAGGTTTCCTTTGTGGAATTAGATCAATCATCAATATCACAAAGGGCAAAATGGTCATATTTAATAAATGTTTTTCTTTTTTTGCAGGGTTTGACAGAGAAGTTTAAGGAGAAGGATACACGATACACGGGTTCAGCCACTCTTTCATATGAGACGTTTATGACTATGGTGATTCCATTTCTTGCAGCTGAATAAGCAAATATGTAAAAGTAAAAAAGTTTGTGACTTTTAGGTTCATTTTGGTTTTCTTTTTTTGTGGATTTGTTTGAGTAAATCTAAGATTGTAGACCTTGAAGCAATTCATGGGTTGTTAAAAGTGTAATGTCTTTATTGCTCAAGGTTTAACAAGATTTTTTCTTGTGTTATATGTGAAAAATTGTTTATACAAAAAAAAAAAAAAAACCAATCTTTTGATCATGTATTTTAAAGGTCACTAAGATGTATTAATTAACTATACATCTACAAAACTCCACTAGAAAAACTATTATGAATCCCAAAATTTCATCATTTTTCTAAGTCACATTGCATCTCCTTCCTTCTCTCTAATCGTCATCACTAACCTCCACCAAATTCACCGACTCAACAACAATCTATAGATCATTATCGATGAATTGACTGAGATACCCTTATGCTATGATCTGCGAGATAGAAGCCAATTAATTGATCCCTCGTTTGCATGCTTATTCGACACCCTACTAAGATTTTTATTGTCATATCCAAATATGTTATTATTTTTCAATTTGTCCTTCCACCACATATCATGTTTGAATGCTAACATAAGACAATCAATGAAGAGCAACATGTTTTCCATTTGTTATTGATGATGATGATAGCTATGGGTTAATTATTTTTGGAGCTTTTAGTGAAATTAACATGTGTTTGACATTTGATGATTATATAGATTAGTTAATACCACCTTGGTTATTTATTGCATTAATAACGCTATGACATTTGATGGTGATTAGACTCTTTTGGTGCCTTCTTGGTTAGAAAGATAAGTTAGGCATAACTAAGGTAGGGGAAAAGGGTCGTGATTAGAGGCAAATAGTCATGGTTAGAGGCAATATATATTCCATATAACTTTTATTAATTTTTAGAATAGATACAACTTTTATTAATCCTTTAGAGACCTTCAACAACAATAACCCAAACATGATTGCTGATGAGTACAACACACAACATGTGTCGCATTGGGGACGAGAATCAAAAAGGGTAAGAAAGAAAGTCAACCCCCATGTCGACAAATTATGTCGTACTTTATATGAAAAAACAATAACCAAAATGATTCAAAATTTGCAAAGGATTCGTACAAGTACACAAATGACAAGAGGATTGGGTTATCTTCACAAAGAAAACAAGAGTGGCAATAAAATAGAAACGGTTCTTGATTTTGTCTTCTCATGGTATGAAAAAACAGATCGCGACTCCTATATCGTTGATGTTATGTATTCTATGGGTTGTGTTGTTTTTGTTTGTATTTAATATCGGTTGTGTTGGTATGTTGTTAAATTTTACTCTAAATGTTATGGATTAGTTGGTATTTGTTGTTTGAATGAAATTGTAATGTCTTTTCAGTTGGTTTGATAATGGTAGTCGTAGTTTGCATGAAATGGTTGTTGTTTATGTAATTGTAGTTTGCATGAAATGATTTGTGTTTTTATAATTGTAGTTTGCATAAAATGGTAATATACTTTTGTTGTAATTGTAGTTTTCATGAAATGGATGTTGATAATTTGCATGAAATGGTAATGTATTTTCATTGTAATTGTAGTTTACTTGATAGTGTACTTACAACGTAATTGTAGTTCGCATTAAACATCCTGATTTTTTTTTTTGAAAAATTAATACGTATAAATTTGTACAAATATTCATAAAAATTAAACAATTGCAAATACTTACAAGAAAAAAAAAAACTAAAAAAATACTTAAAAATTTGCAGAACCGGTAGGGTAATTTTAGGGAACCATAGAGACCATATACAAAATATTTGGGCACACATTTATTAGTTTGATGAGTTAGTGTGATGTGATGTGGCAAGCCATGTCAGCCAAGGAGGCCATGTGTGATACTCTAACTTCATTTGGAAGATGTTGGCCAAAACAAATTAGACATGCAAGTTTTTGAAACCACAAAGACCAAAGGTATAGAAGTTTTAATAGTTGTTGGAATCCTAAGTCGTTGATACCAAAATTTTTGGAGAACAAGCCACCTATTATTTGGCAAGTCGGTCCTTGCTAGTTTCCTAATTTAAATTGTTCAAGTTGGTTCGATTCATCTATATAAACAATCTAGCCCTGTTAGGGTAAAATATATTGAAAACACAAAGGCTTTAAGTTATTTTACTATTAATCAAAGAGCTTGTTTGATTATCTGTGTTTTCACAAGTCATATATTTAATGTTTAATTGGTATCAGAGCCAAGAACAGAGGGCTTTGAGATCAAATTACTAACCTGTTGACAAGGCGGTCAACATATTTGAAGGAGAATGTGTCACAACTCTAAATGTTAGACCTAGCATGGTATAAGCCCTAACCAAGTGCTAGTGTAAACCACACCGCAATCCTTGTTGCATGGTGACCTCTATATCCTTAGGGCTTGTTTATAGAGCTAACAAAGAGGTATAGAAAGAAACCTAAACTAAATTAAGAAGGTATAATACAACTTTGGGCAAAATATTAAGGTTTAAAACATAAATAACACATCATAGATGTGTTCACGACCAATGAGTTCTTGAAAGGAAGAGTTCACGACCTAATACAATTAAGGGAAATGTGTTTACGGATTAGAATTTATTGCAAAGTAGTGTTTTCGGATTTGGAATAAAGGCCATTAGGTGTTTACAGCCAAAACAATAAGTATAAAAGGGTTCACGGTTTGGGATTTTTAAAGCAAAGTGGTGTTTACAGTTTGTTGAATCCAAAAACACTCTTTATTGGGTCGGAAACACACAATTAGCCCACCTTAGGACCATAAACACAAAAAGGGCTTGGTACATTATGAACCGTAAACACCCCTATATATGTATTCAGCCGTGAACAAATTCATTTCTCACATTTTCCAGCCGTGAACTCTCCCATTTTCCTCTCAACTATCATTCGAAAACACCCATTTTTCTCTCAATCTTCAAGAGTTTACTCCCAGAATCTTCAAATCTTCAACCAATTCCTCAAGAACATTCAAGCCCACCTTCAAATCTTCATGTGATCTTCAAATCTTCAAGATCTAACCGTAAACTCATAAGATTCAACCGTAAACCAATTTTACCAACCAAAAATCAATTTGCAACATTTCCAAATAACTCAAATTAATTTGTAAGTATCCCTTGCATAATTAATTTATTATCTAACTCATTATTTAAATTAATATATTATTAATTTAAATACAATATCGAATATAATTATTTTAGGATAACGTTATTCGCTTCTACAACAACCCGATGATCTTCTCTACCGCTTTGTTATCCCAAACTCAAACGCACATACGAGGTGAGTTCATACCCTTACATTTTTACTGTTTTTCAATGTTTTTAAAAGCGGGGGGGGGGGGGGGGGGGGGGGGGGAGGGGCGAATACAATTAAAACACAAGAAATATTGTGTTTCAAAATATAATTTTCCTTATTATATTTTCTTACCGTTAAAATGATTTCGAACATGAAATTGCTAAATACGTCAAACATCATTGCGATTAAACTACAAAATATCATAAGTCATAATATTTTTACATTAACGGAAACTATTTTACAAGTTCAGTTTTTAACACGGAAACAAACTTATAAGCTATAATAGGTATAGTTTATGAAACGAACGAACTATTTTACAAAGCTACATGTTATTTACAAAAAAAAAGTTTTTCTTTATTCTACACATAACTGTCGATATAGCTTTGTGAGATAACATCTTCAAGTACTTATTTAAGTGCCATCAAAAGTCCTGACCTTAATAACATGAGTCTCATGGAGGAAGAGCGTGACTAGAGCTGCTTGCAACAACTAGGCCGGCATGCCTGTGGTGACAAATGTCATGATCGATTTCGACGCCTGAAGAACGTCGTGTCAGGCCATCCGTCGTATTATGTATGGTTATGAGAACTCACAATTTGGTCTCATTAGTACGATTAGTGTATGAATGTATAAACAAACTTCACCTAGTTTTATTTAATTATAAAACTACAACAAAGGACTTTACAAACCAGTAAGATCTAAAGGTCTATTATTGTTAATTCTAGGATTGTCTTGGTTTATACGTCAGGGTTATATATAGATAATATCCGATAGGCAGTGGGATGAGTGTTTTCCGCCTTGCTTCCTGTTCCTTGTTTGGTTGTGTGCTTAGGGCAAAATCACCCAGTCAACTGTCCGTTTGATCTTGGTTATATATATAATTCATATGCACTGAGTAATCATAGGAGGAACAAATATGGGTCATAACAACACGTACCAGAATAGCATATAATTTTCTAGAACCGAATTTACAACTTTGGGGAAACATATATCAAAGCAATTTTTATTAAGTAATAAAACAACAAGTATACAAACTTAACGCACATCAACATACAAACGCTTTGGTCTTAGGTTTTAAGACTACTTTGCAAATAAATTAACTATGATATTTATACTTGAACCTTTCAGTCTTAGAACGTTTAACATTTGAACTCGTTTTATATGGAAAATATAGGATTTTCCAAGATCAACGTAATTCTTTTTCAAGTAAACAGATTACAATTTAACTTCTGAAAACAAAAAGGCGATTACTTATCGAAAACCATGATTTATAGTAGAATAGGTGCAACTAGGAATGTATTTACAAAAGATCCAACTTTTATTTACAGGTTACCTTACTTATCATTTATCACATCAAAAAATATAGGATTTTCTGGAAGAAAAACATTAACATTTTCAAAGAACAAAGAACATATTTTCCAAAACAAAATGCTTATGAACTCACCAAATTTAATGTTGACACTTTTTCAAGCCACTTGTATTCTTAGGATAACTAGTAAACAGATACCCTCTCGGGTGTTGCGAAGATGGAGCATAGTCGCTTTATGTCATATCTTCTGGTTATAGTTTTGATGTTAATCATGCAATGTTTTGAATACAATGTAAACTAGATATTATTAATATAATGGTTGTGGTTGCTTTCATTACTATTATTCAATTTTTGTGATATTGTACATGATGTCATCCGCCCCCGAACATTTCCGTCATTCCGGATTAAGGGTGTGACAGAATGAGGATGAGGAGCTGCTCCGGTGAGAATCAAGGAAGTAGGACGACTTCCATGCAATGTACGATGCTTACACCCATAAATTACACTGTGTGGGATATGAGGATGAAGGTGGTTCTCTGAATCTACAAAGCATGGGTTGTGATTGGTCCAGGAACATAGGAGAATGAAGAAAAGGATTACTTGGCAATGAGATTGCTGCATCAGG